TGTGTTTGTCTTTAGGAACCTCAGTGGTGACAGTGGTGGCAACAGACGCTGATGACCCCACTTATGGAAACTCAGCCCGGCTTGTTTACAGCATCCTGCAAGGTCTTCCCCATTTCTATGTGGACCCAAAGACAGGTAGGAATATATTTGGTTCTGACTTAAAGTTGGGTTTTACAAAATCCTTATCTGGATCTGGTTCCGCTGATTCTATGAATGCATACTATTTCATAACCAGTGTTGAAAACAGTAACTTTGTTTTCCGTTAGGCTCACATCTGGAGCAGTGAAGTAAAATCACTTTTTTCAACCCTTAGAGCCTCCATGAGATCATCCTAATAAACCAAGTGGAAAAACCAGTCCCAGAATATAATCTGACACAGAGGCTCTAGTTTCAGTTTACTGATCAGTCTCCACATTCCAGAATGAGAGAGAAGGAGGAAAAATCTCCTTTTGATGGACGCTTCATTTTTAACACCCTTCATTTGAACCTTCCTTGGTGCTGAAACACAGCCAGCTAGAGGGGCCCCAAACTAAGGGCCCCTAAAGGGTCCTATGCTAATATGTTAAACTCTCATGTGTTTTTGTGCAGTTTTACCAGTTTCATTATGGTTATTAACTTTAAGCAGAGCTTACAGTTAATTCATTATTTCTCTAAAATAAAGAGTCTCATAGATGTTGGTCAGGGTTAGGGTTAGGGTGATTATAATGAACTTATTACCTTGTTTTATTAATAGCTTACAGCTGTTAAAATCAAAGTGCTTTTCACCATCAGTAAATGTCAATAACTTGGTTTGGAATTTAAACAAAGTTAAGAAAAAGGAGAACTGTCTTTGTTTATTCAAGTTTTTACTCAAAGGAGGTTGATTCAGCTTTCAGTAGAGGCGGGAGGATTGATCCTAGGATCAATACCACCATCGATCAATCCTACGCTCTATGGATGCTATGCATACCAACGCTATGGATAGGAACACTGGTATGGATCCTATGGATACTATGGATCCATAGGATCCATACTATCCATAGGATCCATACCAACGCTGGTAGTAATAATGAATAATACTCAGTTAAGAAGAACAAGTCAGAGCTGCTGAACTGGTGAATGGATCTGGTGTCCACTCTGACACGTGACCAGTAGAGCTCAGTGGGAGCTGATCCTGGATCAGTAGGATGATCCTGGATCAGAGCTCCATGGTCCTCCTCTTCCTGTGTGTATTTACTGATGAAGAGTGCTGCCTCCTCCTCCATCATTAAATCAGATTACTGCTTCTATCCTCCTCACATGGTTTCATCTCAGTTATCAGAACCGTGACCCAAACATCCCTCTGCAGAACCTCTCAGATGACTAAACCAGAACATCTGAGCTCCAAGGTTCCACAGCTTTATCATCTACCCACCGGTTAGGAACCACCAACAGACTGCTGGTACCAGAGTAGCGCTACTAAACCAGTTGCTCATCTTTGTTAGGTACTGATGAACTGTCATCCAGTGGGCCTCAGCCTTGTTTTCCAAAATGTGATGGAGGTGCATCAGTTGTTCTCTGGTAGCCGCGCACAGCCTCCCTGACCTCCTACATGTTCTCACCTGTCCTCCAGGTGTTGTGCGGACCGCTTTGCCTGACATGGACCGTGAGACACAGGATCGGTACCAGCTGATCATCCAGGCTAAAGACATGATGGGTCAGATGGGAGGTCTCTCAGGAACCACCATGGTTACCGTGACACTGACAGACGTCAATGACAATCCGCCTCGTTTCCCCCGCAGTGAGTCCGACCTCTGACCTTTAGGCCACCACAGACTTTCTGCTGAGTCCATCCTTGACATGCCTTGGGTCCCACAGGGAGCTATCAGTTCACCGTCCCAGAGTTGGTTTCGGTGTGGTCCGTTGTGGCGAGGGTTAAAGCTGTAGATCTGGACTTGGGTCCTAATGCTGAGGTGGTCTACCGCATGGTGGATGGAGACGGACTGGGAACCTTCCAGATCCAGACTGATCCCAACACTCAGGAAGGACTGATCACTCTGCTCAAGGTACCGGGCTCTCTGGAGTCCGTCCTGTATTGGGTGATCTGTCCTGTTTGGAGCTTATCAGTGGTCTTGGAGTCTTGACTTCAGAGACGTCCTGGAAATGTTTCTTTGGTCTGCATGATTCTGGTTCTGGCTTCCCCCTACAGGACCTGAACTTTGAACTCAAAGCCAGCTACACTTTGAAGATTGAAGCCTCTAATCGACACGTTGACACTCGCTTCCTGCTGGTGGGTCCATTCAGCGATGTGACTATGGTCAGACTGGAGGTGGCAGACCAGGACGAACCCCCCGTCTTCTCCACCTCTGTCAGTCAGGTGCTGGTTTCGGAGGGGGTTCCAGTGGGAACCAGAGTGGCATCAGTTTCAGCTCATGACCCTGATGGCGCCAACAGTCCAATCAGGTGAGCTGAGACTCTGGTCATGGAAGCATGTCATCAGTGGTACCGTTGGTGTTTTCTGGAGGTTCCGTGTAAAACTTGTGCTTTTTCAGATTTGCACTTAGAGGCTTAGAGACCTCATCTGAAAACATTTCTGCTAATAGCCGTCAGTGTCTGCAGGTACCTGATAGACCAGAACTCGGACATCGGCCGTTTCTTTGACATCGACGGCAGCTCAGGTACCATCACAACCAGCAGATATCTGGACCGAGAAACCAGAGTTCTTCACAACATCACAGTGATTGGCTCTGAAATCCGTAGGTACCAGACCTGGTCTGTGGTCTGCTGATGTTTGGAAGGAAGTAGCTGAAAGCTGTGTCTGCTCTCAGGGGACCCGTCTCAGGTGAGCTCAGCGGTGGTTCTGATTTCTGTGACGGACGTCAACGATAACCCACCAAGGTTTGCTAGCGAGTACTGGACCTCCGTCTGTGAGCATGTGCAGCCTGGACAGGTAAAGATCTTCTAGGGACCTGGTTGGTGGTCTTGAAGGAGCCAGCTGACTCTAGGTATCTCCTCCTTCAGGTCATTGAGACTCTGAGTGCAGTCGATCCAGATGATCCAGAGGATGGACATCACTTCCTCTTTTTTCTGAACCAAGAAACTGCTTTGAACTCCAGCTTCACCTTGAGAGACAACAGAGGTAAAGTACTCCTCACATCCCAGGGTCATAAAGGCAGTCTGGGTTTTGGACCAAGAACTTCCTGATGACTGCTCTTGTCCTTCTGCTTCTAGACAACACTGCCTCGGTTCTCACGTCATGGTCCAGCTTCCTGCGGCGGGATCGACCCGTCCACCTTCTTCCTGTGGTGATTGCAGATAGTGGCAGTCCATCTCTCAGCAGCACCAACACCCTAACCATCACTGTCTGCGACTGTGATCTCCATGGAAACCACCATCTCTGCAGTGAGGAAGACCCGTGGCGTGGTGGCGTGGGGTCTCCCGCCGTCATCCTGATCACCGTGCTCACATTCCTGGGTATGTCCTGACATCACAGGGTCTGAATTTGATGTAATGGTGGAACCATGTCCAGTTCCTGATGACGCTGAGCAGAATGATGGTGTTTGTGGGTTCTGCAGAGATTTGACATGGACTTTGTCCTCAGGTGTTTCCCTGTTAGCTGCTGTCCTTAGATCCAGGAGGAGGGTGCCTCAGATGATGGAGGAGGAACAGGACATCCAGGAGAACATCGTCTGTTATGATGATGAAGGTGGAGGGGAAGAGGACACCAGGGCCTTTGACATGGTCGCCTTGAGACACTCGAACCAGATGAATCTGACTTCTGGTACCGCCGAGCCAGAGAGCGTGACCCAGAAGACCAGGCTGCTCCAAGCGTTCATCAGCGAGCGGCTCCAGGAGGCGGACCTGGACCCCTCAGCTCCGTTCATCGACACCTTGCAGACGTACGCCTTGGAGGGGAGCAGCTCTGCGGCCCAGTCGCTCAGCTCCCTCTGCTCTCTGGACTCATCCGAGTCGGAGCAGAACTTTGCCTTCCTGAAGGCCTGGGGTCCGAGGTTCCAGAAGCTCACAGAGCTCTATGGGCACCGGGTTGGAGGGGGCGTGGCTTCATAGCAGAGCACAGCTGATTGGCTGGCCCTGACCCTACTCTAATATAAACTAACTAAAAACCTCAGCTTTACCCAGCATGCATCTCTGTGGTCATCCAGTCATTCGCTGATCTGCTTACTGCTCAGAGGTGAACTGACCAATCACAGGACAGAGGTCTTTACTGGTCCGAAACCACAGGAACTGGTCTGTGCCAGGATTCCTACACCCAGTCCACCTTTGGTCATGTCACTGTGATGTCACTGTGATGTCACAGTCTGGAGTTTTATTTCCATTTAAAACCTCAGCAGAACCAAAAGGATAAGGGTAACCATTTCCTGATTTCAAATTTCCAGAACAGGGTGGAAAAGCTTTACAGAAATAAAAGAATTAGAACAGAATAGCATAGAAAATAATAGAACAAAACAGCATAGAATAGAACATATTAGAGCAGGTAGAGTAGAACAAAATAGAGAAGAACAGAATACAATAAATAGCTTTGCCCTAATGTCCCACATCAAAGGGTGAACCTAGTGACGATCGCCGCCATATTAGGAGGGGTAAACATTTGCTTAGCGACCACAGAGCGAACTGTAAGTAGATTTTACACGTGGTTTGAGTCATAACCATTTATAAACCTTCTACCAAAACATAAGAGCAGATATGAAACAAGAAACAAACAAACTGCAGAGAATCCAGGCGCCCAGCGGAGGATCAGGGGAGCAGCATGTCTGCTGGAGGTAGGACCATGAAACAGTCCTTCTAGGCCTGAACTAAAACAGCTTTAAAGGCTCTTCAGAGCATTTCCCTCTTCATCCTTTGTCAACAGTATTTTCTCTGTCTTCCAAGTCAAATAAAGAAAGCTTTTCTCCGCAGCCTCCTTCACTAAATTATCAGTTAATTCATTAAATACTTTCTCCTGATTTTATACTTAATAATAATGTCGATGCCTGGAACACACGTAGGTCCACTTTGACTTTGGACTCCAGGTTTTTCTCCAAACCTTCCTAAAGCTAGCATCCAAGGCAATAATTTTGGTTTGTTGGAAAACGTTAGAACAACGGTTTATCTACTTGGCAGGCATGATTGCTGCTTCCATAAGCAGCACAAGGCTTCAGCATCAGGACCAGGATGGACCAGGGTCAATCTCTATACAGGGAGGACCAGTCATTACTGCACAGTTCTTTACCCCTCCTGTAATGGCGGCTCAGGGTCACTGGGTTCATAACATCTCCCAACGCCATCTACAGAACAGAGCAGAATAGAATAGAACAGGATGTGGAGATGATCAAGCTTTAAGGAGAGGGAAGAATGGAGAGGAAGACCCAGTGGTTTATGGAGTACAAGAGGAGGGAGAGAGCTCATGGTTTCCGAAGCCCTCGGTTGTCATGTACGGTGGTGGTTTCCAAGCCGGCTCCTCAGGGACCCCTGTCCTGCATGTTTTAGGTGTTTTCTTTTTGCATCACCCAGAAAAGAATGGATGATTAACCGGTTTCTACCTTTATGATTACAGCGGAGAAGCCCTGCAGCGCTCCCCCAGGGCAGCACCCCGGAACGCTCTGCTAGTGCAGCGCCCCGCAGCGCTCCGCTAGGGCAGCACCCCGGAACGCTCTGCTAGTGCAGCGCCCCGCCCCGCTCCGCTAGGGCAGCACCCCACCCC